TCCGGATCAGGCGGAGTTTAGCGGCATTTCCCGTGTATACAGTAGATTACTGTGGCACTGAGCTTTATCCAGTTTGGTGCTCGCTGGCATCTTTGCTCTGGAATAGCCTTGGGCTATCCAGTGACCTTCGACCCAATCCCTCCAGCCAAATGATCTACTGCTACGATTAATACAGTTTCGTCTAGATTTGCCTTCTCTGAAGTTCCCCGGGACGATGTCATTCCGGCCATTGCTGTTACCGGGCCGGGAAAGTCGATGCCTGTCCAAATAGTACCACATCGGTGACCTACTGAGACAGATTCCTCCTTTCAGTCGGCCTCGTAACCTTTCGTCTATGAGAAACCTGGCCCAGAGTACTAGCTGGTGAAGACTTCAAGTTTTTCCCGGCGTTTTCAGTTGCTCTGCCCACTTTAGTAGTGGTAACGGTAATCAATTGTTCACATCGGTTTCCTTACTATTTTGAGATACTAGTGAGATACTTAAAAACGTCTGCCAGTGTGTAAAAACGTTTCCATCCGTTCAAAGTTCAAAGGGATCGGTAAATCCGTAGTCCATACATAGAAAATATGCATAAAAAAGCAATCAATTGTCTTCTTTTTCCCTTCCAGCTCATTCTTTTGTTTCTTCTTACCTTATTCACGTCGCCCTTCCTCCCCCCCCAAAAAAAAAAAAAACACGTAAGCGTTATAACCCTTCCCGCAAAACAAACAAGGAGCATTAACTCCTTCAAAACAAATCAACAACACCTCTCCTGCTCGAGACAACTCCGGCCACTTTCGCCTCGTAATCCAACAACGATCCTCCCCTTGTAGCGACCCAATCCGTGTTTTCTCCTTCCCCTTCTGTTCCCAGTAACTTTTCCAAGTTCGTTGAAGCCAAGGATAAAGCATCAGCTTTGGAGATCAGACCGGAGGAGTCTAGAGAGATCTGTAAAACAGTATTTTTTCTTAGTTTTAGAGGATGGAAATAAGATATTAGAAAAAACTCACCCAAGCAGCATCAAACCTCGCGTTCCTCACGTCCCATGTGTCCAAAGCACCAATCCCAACGGTGACGTTATGTTGAAGCAACTTGGTGATCGCCGTATCCTCTGTCAACGGTGGTCCAGCGAGTCTACAAAGCATCAAATAGGAAAGAAAGTCGATATCAACACAAGAAGGAAAGAAAAACGAAATCAAAGAACGCACATCCTCCTCTGCTCCCAAGCCTTTGGGAATGCCCTCACAGGACTCACCACCACACCCACACCAGCCTCTCCAATCTCTTTTGCGACAAGATGAGCTTCGGCCGCTTTCTCAAACGTCATCCTGATCTTTGTTCCTTCATCCAGAGTATCTTCAACCTCTTTCTTGAGATGAATAAGAGACGCCATGATATCTGCAGAGTTGACAGTAACGACGAGGGGGATCTCTCCCTGTTTTTTTTCACATAGAAATTACGATAAGTGAAAAAGGTTGGCACATAAGAGGGAGAGAAAGGAGAAAAACAAGGCTCACATCCAAAATTCTTTGGACCGCTTTACCCAACTCCCCTTTCTTCTCTCCCAGCAAAACCTTCCTCAAAGCCCCGACTTGTGTCCCCACACTGGCACCGCTCGCACTCATCGATACACTCGCATGCAATGCAGCAGTCTCTTTCAATATCGCACCTTCTGCCAACCCATGAGGCGCTCCTGTACTGAACGCTGTACTCAGTCCAGATAAGAAGCCAGAGGACACCGGGGCGGTTATGGCAGATGTTACACCTGAGCGGTACGCGAGTCTAACGAAAAGGGGGAAAAAAAGGAAAAAAAAGTAGGTTTTGTTGTCTTTTGGTAGGAATCATGTTACTCACAAAGCATTCCTCGACTCAAACATCAACCCATCCACGGCTCGTACAACTGATTCTCCCAAGATACTGGGCACGTTTCCGGTAAGAGGGTTAATGACAGCTCCATCGTTAGTAGAGGATTCGCCCGCAATGTGCGTCAGACCTAGGGCGCTGCCGTAGGATACGAGGCCAGGACTTTTTACAAAAAAAAAAGGATCATGTCAAATATGAAAGTGCGTGGAAGGAGAGTAAACGCGAAAAGACGAGGGAACGTAAGAACGGAGATTCGGACTCACGCCAAGGAACCACCCTCCAAATCCACTACTTTCACCTGTACCTCTGCAGTCTCTTTCAATCTCTCCAACTTCTCCAAACACTCTTTCCCAATCAAACTGCTACAAATCATCTCACCATCTCGTATGAGCACCACGCCATTTGCTGTCCCTTTCTCGTCAAGATTTCTTTCAGCCTCATCCTCAAACACCTGCACAACCCTTCCGCCGCTCCTCACATACATACTCCCCACATTGACGAACATCACTACTTGACCATCACTGCCGGTCCGGAAACTCTCTTTCGGTCCCAAAGGTGGTAACCCATCCCACTTTACTGCCGCTTTCGCTTCTTCCTCCCAATCTGGAGTTTCAGGCGCCTTTTGACTTTTCAACGGCTTGTCACTAATAACGTGAGGATGTTCGAGTTGTGCGATTCCATCAATAAACACTTGTTTTGGAGTTGCACCGAGCGAGAGAGGATGAGAGTCCCAGAGAACGAGATCGGCATCGTAGCCTGCGAAAATAAAAATATGAAGTCAGTATATTGGGAACTCATAAAGACAGTTGCGAATGAACTGTGACTGAGATCATCCTTACCCTCCTTGACATATCCAATCCGATGATCCTGACCCATAACCTTTGCAGGGGTTGTTGTGACTGCAGCCAACGCCAAATTGTCCGGGAAACCAAAGTAATGGGCTTGTTGAGCTTCATGTAGGAGGTAGCGGGAATCTAGAACTGGGTGATCGCTCTACAACGAAAAAGAAACACAAGGTTCGAAATCAGTGCATAAAGCAGAGAAAATAGAAAACATACCTTCATGACAACCGCCAACCCATTCTGCGCCAAAACCTTGGGAGCAAACTCGGATCCTCTGTACGCTTCCCTCTTGTACCTCCCATTAGTCGAAAACAACGCTACCGCTGGAGGCTCTCCACCGAACATCTTCTTCAATAGTTCTGGCACAAGATACGTTTCATGAGCATGATGGAACGCTGCAATCTTAAACCCAAACTCGTTTGTCAACCGAATTATTCCGTCGAGATCCACGGCTTCGTAACAGTGGTTTTGAATCTTAACTCTGCCGCGTAAAACGTCAACGAGAGCTTCCCACTGGAGATCTTCGGGGAATTTGGCTGTAGAGCCACCGATAGTACCCCAATCGCCGGAGAGGGCAGCTGAGCAAAAGTCATCCTGCTGTACTTTGATTTTACGGGCTGTTTCGTAGCTGGAAAAAGAATCAGGCTACGTCGAGTCAGGAATACAAGAACTCACCCTTGACGGAAACTCCAGATGTTGTCCATACGCGTGCCAGAGTATACTCGGCCTAAGAAATTCAGTCGGGAAAGGGGTCAAATATGAAGTAGGTACCAGGGCTTACTAGGATTCTCCCCTGCATAACATTGTTCAAAACAAATGAGCTCTCGAACCCGCCGTGAAGATACGATTACCTACCGCACGCTTGCCTGGAATTACGCGTTAGAACACGTCAATACACACTAAATATCAGTAGAAACTCACTTAAGCTGCCTCCACCTGGGAGGATTAAATGGTTCAATTCCTGAACCATTGAACGAGAACGGTGGCTCAAGAAGCATAGAAGAGGGTGACTTCTCACTCGTTGGACGAAGTTTGATGACGAAAGCTTGACCACCTGGTCACCAATGGACGTGTGAGTCTGTTGCAAGAATAGAGATAAAGATAAGGAGAACGCACCGACGGAGTTGGCTGAACCAGGTAGTACGACAGCGGTAGTAACACCACCAGAAACGGAGAGACGGTAAGCGTCATCATGAGTGTTGAGGCCGTCGAGAGCTAGATAAAAAAGCGCGTCAGGTACTCGAATACTTAATTGGGAGAACATCATGTAGGCGCACATCGTAGCCATGGCTGGACTAGGCCCTTGCGAGAATTAGTGTCGGATGCCCCCTGTAGAGGCGGAGAGCTGTCGACTCCCAAGTGCGAATGCAAGTCAACAATACTAGAACAATTTTAGTTTTGACGCAATGCAGGAACACGACGAGAGACTAACCCAGGAGATAGCCAAGCTCCGTTTGCGTCAACCTTCTCCACGAACCCATACTCTTCCAATACACGACTCTCATCAATTCTCCCAATAGCCTTGATAATTCCCTTGTCAATCAATACGTCTCCTCTCTCGATAACTTCCGTTCCATTCTTGCCTCCAGTCCAAATCTTCGCGTTCTTAATCAACACCGACTTCGTTCCTTGCTCGAACCTGTCGGACTGGGAACGTGAATAAAAGTCTTTAGGAGGGCCTGGAGTAGCATTGAGATTTGCGCATTTGTCGAGGATCTCAGCGACGTTGATAGGGATGGAAGAAGTAGACTTAGGGGATGGGAGATTTGAGAGAATGGTGACGTAGGTCCCGACCGCGATGAGCGATACCAATGACAGAACCCGCAGCAACGGAATACCGGTTCGTCGTCGTCGTCGTTGGACAAACGGAGCTGGTGTAGGAAGCCCTTTCTCCATTGTGGTCGTGGTCAAACAACCGAACTTCCAAGCAGTGGGAATCAAAGCTGTCGGTCCGTCGTCGGATCGTTCCGCGGACCCCACTACCGAAGTAATGATTAGATATTTCCTAGATAGAAAAGCAAGTGTATGCGTCTACTCAAGCTCAAGATTCAAATGACACCCGAATTCTCATATCCACAGAGGAGAACGTTTGCAGCCACTCCAACTCCAACTCGAATACCTCTGTAGACGAGATTTTGAACGGGATACTCTACTCACCGAAAACACGTCAAAAGCGCGAAATATGTTGCAATTTTGGCGTTATTCCCTCGATCACCGTACAATTAGTGGCACTATATTTGCTGGCCGTCATACGCAGTGTGAGTATCTTGGTTTTATGTAACTAGCGGGATCAAAAGTGATTTGGTCCTTCAACATTTCCCTCTAGCCGACTTGAACGACTGACCTCGTCATTTAGAAAGTACTAGTGACGCGCTCTACCAACTGAGCTAAGAGGGACCACATATATTTAGTGTCACTCAAAGGGTTCATGCCACAAGCCTACCATACAAACACACCGTCGCCGATCACTTATAATTGTGATCATTTCAAAAACGGAGGCAAAAAGCAAGGTGACACCTACCGCAATATCATTTCGAAAACGGAGGCAAAAACCACACGTTATAATGAAAACACTCGCATGAACGCAAATACAAGAGTTGGAATCTAGCTATGTACTACTCGAGGTTCTGAGTCGGAGTTGAGAAACCCTATCTTTCCTACACATACTAGTTCGGGAAGGAACCTAAAAAATATCATTGAAAGAGTCAAAACAGAATAAGAGAGTGCGCCACCAACATCGGTTTGCCAACTTGCTAGCTACGAATAAAAATTGGACTTGAATTCATGTCCATGTCAAATTCCCCCTAGCCGACTTGAACGACTGACCTCGTCATCAAATCGGACGTAGCCTTTTATACTAGCGACGCGCTCTACCACTGAGCTAAGGGGGATATGTATCGTATGAGTATCAGTGCTGACTGGTGTACTCCTCGTTCGATTTGATTTGGGGAGTTAACTAGATGGGCCAAGTTGAGCTTACCCCGAACGGCGAAAATCAATGCAAGCGACAACATCTTACTTGAGTCCAGACTCAGTCTCCAAACCCGACATCCGAAGAAAAATAAATGGATGGATAAATACACTATGTACTCCAGTACAATCATGTCTATCATCCTACACCGACAAACATATATAATTCTACTAATCATATCATATGTATATAAGTTGTAACATCCATAGTCATAAGGAAAATCTCTTTGATTCCGTTTCGTTTCATTTCGTGACAATTCCATTCCATTTACCTTCTTCTTTGTTGCATTCCTTCACTCGTTCGCAACACAAATCAAGCAGATAAGCCTAGACCTCATCCCCTCATCCCCATCTTTCCCTTAACCCTTGCCCTCGCCCTCTCCATACTCTCTCTTAACTCCGGCGACTCCCATCCCGCCGTCTCCCCAAACGCCATCACATTCGACTGATTCGCATTAATCGAAACCGGTGTCGAAGGTTGGAACGAAGCCGACGTCGACGATGACCTCGTCGAAAACCCAAACGACGTAGTCGAATACGACGCCGACGGAGGTGCCGAACCAGAACCCAACAACCCTGGCATTAAACCTATTCCTCCTCCTCCATGTGACGACGATGGTGTGTGCGTCCGTCTCGATGACGATCCATTGGGCGTATACGCTCTCCTCTTCTTAACCCTCCTCCTTGGACTCTCACTCCTTGAGTATACGCTTCCCCCATCGTCTCCATCGAATCCATGTTCGTCTTCATCAACCCATCCCTCCCTCTCTCCTCCATCCTCATCCTCCCTGCTCTCACTCATAACAACCACTTCCCTCCCTAAAGCTTTCTTCCCCTCCTCAATCAAAAACGACAACTTATTTCCGATCCAGTCCATTTGATCTCCCAAATCTGGATCTTCTTCCTCTCCTCCATTTCCTCCATTTCCTCCATTTCCTTGCTGTCCTCCCTGCGCACCGAAATTCGAGTTGGACCTCCCAAATGAAAAATCAAACTGAGGTTGGGTAGGAGGGAATAACGGAGTGGCACCATTTGACGACGACGTCGTCGACGAAGATCCTGGTCCTGAAGAAGAAGGAAGTCCATATTGATACGTCCTTCCTCTAGGATGTGCAGCATGCCTTCTCTTACTTGCAGACGAATGGACGGAATGTGTATGTGCGTGCGTCTTTCGACGAGGTGTAGGTGGGAGTGTGTTTAACACAGATGATTTAGAAGAATCGATGGAAGAGTAAGGTGGTGGGGGAGCGCCTGCGTTCCCATTGGGATTGGAATTGACATCGGAGGAGTCTGGGGAGGAAGTGGCCGGAGGAATAGCTAGTTGGGGTGGTTCTTTACCTCTATCTCGCCATCTGAAAATAATGAAATGGAAAAACAGATCAGAGGAAACACGTTTTTTTCGTTAGTGAATACTTGAAAGACCCAGGGAAGAAAAGATATGTTTACTTACAATCTATACACCGTTAAACCTACAGCGGTCCCAATCAAAGCGGCGCTGAGCGCTGTTGAGACTATGGATCCAGCTAACCCGCGTCGACGCTTTGCAGGCGGTTCAGGGAGCTCGTCGTGTTGTATGTGAACGGTAGAACCTGAAGCTGAAGAAGAGCCGGAAGGGGTGTTACGAGGATAATCTTGTAGGATAAGATATGTCAAGAAGCGCATGGTGAAATGAGTGGTTAGTATAAAAAGGATGATAAAGACACAAGGTAAAAGTGCAAAAAAGAAGAATAAGAAAGACAATAGCGTTGAAGAGGAAAGGTAGAAGGCGTATATATAGGTAGTAGTATTAATGAACGGGTGGTGAGGCCGGTTAGGCCTCGGAAGGGTGAACATGCGTTATTCAGCCAGGCTGCCTGCAGGAAAAACAACGACAAAAGTGGGCAGAGGGCACAGCAGAGGGAAAGCGAAAAAGACAGCAGGGCCTCGTTTTATCCGCGCTGTCCCCGTGCGTTCCGTCCTGGGTACAGCTGCCATGCCACACAACACCGCTCGTTCCCGGGTCCGGGGCTCTAGGGGTCACTCACCCCAGCCAAACCCAATAGCTCGATACTCACCATTTGGTTCTAGACGCTTCACTCTCTCGTAGTCATAGTACTCCTGCTCCCGATTCCCAATGTACTGCTGTTGTTGCGCTTCTGCCATCTCCCTGTACTTTGCTGGTGTATCCAAGTATCCGTTCGAAGAAGCCAATGTCGGCATCGATTGGCTGGGCTCTGCGAACGAGGGCTCCCAGCCTCTCTTACGGGACTGAGAAGGTGTGCGACGTTCGTCTCGATGTCCCACCAAGCCTGAGCTTAGATGTCGGTTTGGTAGAGTTGGGTTATTATAGGTATGGACGTCGTTGGACCGAATGTTGAGAATATCTGCATTAGGATCGTCATGGTTCGAGTGGGAATGGAAAGAAGAACTAGCGCCTGGATCGGGAAGAGGAGGGTTCGAAAATGGGTTGGACAGTCCGGGGACTTTAAAGTTGAAGGTGAATGGAAATGGCATAGTTCGAGAAAAAAATAAAAGTAAACCGAGTTTCTTTCATTTCTCAATTTACGGCCCGGTTCTCCTGTTTACACATTTATTCAAAAGAATACCTGTGTAGTTCCCTCTTAGCTCAGTTGGTAGAGCGCGTCACTAGTAATGACGAGGTCAGTCGTTCAAGTCGGCTAGAGGGAATAAAGAATGTAAGTGAATGTTTTTTATCGTACTTAAGTTTAAGTGTTTGAATTTCAAAGTCAAAAACCTAGTATCACTCTGATATCTGTCCTTCTGCTCGTCAAAGACGAAGATACGTTCAAGTTCATTTTGAAATCCTCCTTGACGAACAATCAAATAGTAAAATGAACTTTGATTTGCATTTGAGATACTAGTATGTAAATAATATTAATACGATACATAGATCCATTAATCTCATTTTAAAATGTCTGTGCTTCGGGTTTAGGAAAATAAAAAATAAAAAAAGAGCGATCAGTTAACGCGTCCTATTCATTACACCTAATCAAACACCGGAGTTGGTCGCGGTGGGAGTTGCCGTAGTTTGCAAAGAAGATTCGGAGGGAGTAACCTCAGAGTTGGATGCGCTGGCAGAAACAGTTGCAGTTGTCTGAAAAGCAGATCCTGAAGTTGAACCACTAATAACGCTGGTCACTGTGGTAGGACTGGTGGTAACGATCGAGTTTTCTCCGGTAGTCGTAGTGGGAGGGCGCGATCCAGTAATCGACGCTCCATCTGCAGATACTTTGCAGGTAGGAGGAGTACGGACTTGGGAGAACGTGGTGTTGACAGGTGGAGTTTGGTCGAACATGCTAAAATAATCAGTTTCGGTCAGTGATCAAGTAGCATCGAGAATCGGAAATAAAACACTTACTTTTGCCTAGCTTCCTCATCAGCAGGAGGACTCTGTCCATCACCGACCAAAGTTTTCTTTCCGGGCGAAGGAACACCATCAGCGGTGACGACATACAAGTACGCGGGACCAGGAGGGTAGAGCTGAGGAGTAGGGGGTCCAGTCACCGTCAAACTAGTTCCATCCTCGGAAAGCTCAGAGACGAGCTTAAGGTAGCGAGAGCTCTGGTGAACACCGTGGGTGCTGTAGCCGAGATCCATGAGAATGACAGAGACGTCGGTCGCGTTGGCTTCAGAGGGCATAGTCAAGTTAAGGGTGAAAGTCTTGTTGTAAGCGATCGTGCTCTCAAGGCCAGTGAAGCTGGGACGAGGCTTGAACATGTAAGGAGGGTCGAGGTATTCGGCACGGTATTCAGTGGGGAATTGATCAAAGCAGAGGTCTTCGTGAGGGTTGGATCCGGCTGTGAACAAAAAAAGAAGAATTGAGATTCAAACTTGATTTAGAAATACTAAGTAGCACTTACCCATCAAAATCGTTCCATTAGCGGTCAATGTAGCGGTGGAGTGGTACAACCTCGCGATATCGGAGGAAGGAATTCCCTTAGAAGAGAATCGACTGCCTTCCGGTGCTTCTGGATCGTACACAACGGGCGTGAAGGACGGGTGATCAGCGTTCGAATCTCCAATGGGATCGGGGGACTGTTCATCAGAAAGTATTATTAGAGAAAGGATAGATCTTGAAATCATTGAGAAAACTGACGTTAGCATATCCACTATATCCAGTCTGAGCACCGTTAACCAAGATCAATCTTCCATCAGGTAAGATGAACATCTCCCCCATCGTCCTAGCGAGCGGCATTTCCTCGACTTTCCATCCACCAGAAATACCCTCCTCAGTCAACACCATCCTTGCACATTGTTTCGAAGCAGGGGTCTGAGAGGAGATCTGTGAAGCATCGACGGTATCGTCGATGGTGGAACCACCGCAGATGAGTATCTCCGGAGTATAATCATTCTCAGGAGTCAAAGGAAGGAGAGCGGCAGATCCGGAGTACGGGTAGCTATGCGGGTACGGTCAACACGGATGAATGTGAGAACAAAAGGTAAGCAGTACTCACGATATCCTCACACCGTTAGGGATATCAGGCAACCTCCTCTCACTGTTGTTCTTCCAATCAAAGATCATAGTCTGGGTGTTGGCAGCAATAAAGATCTTGCCGTCGGGGAGGTAAGCCAAGTATGGGAACAAGTTGGCGTTCATAGTGTCGTTGAGGAATTTCGATGGGATTTGGACGCCATTGAAGCCTATAGGAGGATGGGTTAGGAAATTACAAGCTGCCAGTCACGATTAACCAAACGCACCATTGATATTCTTAGGAGGATAATACTCGTAGGTAGGGTTGTTGATCTCAGGTGTATTAATAAAATTGTTAAGAGTGGCACCTCTGTTAGATGCAATCAGTATATGGAAACCTACCACAGGATGATATGAGAATCAACAAAAAGCTTACCCCATAAGCAACAAGGAACCATCTTCGAGCCTCACAATACCGGGATACCATCTCGGGCTTGTAATACGAAGGCG